AGAAGTTTGAACCTATTAATTGAAATATCGACCTAATCTGAAATCTCAAAATAAAAGGCAACAACTTCGACTTAGAGAATCGAACGTTCAGTTCATAAATCTAAAGTTTAAGTCAATCGACTCTAAATTTTCGTTTTTATAGGTTTTATTAGTGTCGGGTTAATCGGGCCGAAATGTTGATAAAATGGCTAAAAAATTTCCAAATTTAATAGTGGCAATCGGAATTTTCAGAAAATGTTTTGGGACTTCGACCTAAAATTTGAAATAATAAAAAAATAATTCGCAATTTCGAACAACTTAAACAGAAATTTCGATTTTATTGAAAGATATTCTCAAATTTTGGGTTTATTTTACAAATTTTCAAATTCATTCAGTTAAAAAATGATAAATCAAAAGACTTACGAAGTCAAAATTTAGGGAAATAAGTCAATTTCTCAATCAAATCGAAATTCCCAATGAGATAGATGAACTTTGACGTCTTTTGGTCAAACTGCCAAGAATTAATTAGGAAAAAAATGAAAATTAGAAAAACTGCAAATGAAAATTTGAAGAAATGAAAAATTGAAAAATCCAAAAATTGTAAAATTTCACAACGAAAAACAGAAAAATTGTAAAATCAGGACATTGCAAACCGAAAAATTGGAGAAATGAAAATTCAGGAAATTGCAAATCGAAAATTTGCAAAATGTAAATATTGAAACAATAAACAGTTGGAAAATCTAAAAACCAAAAAATTTAAGAAGAGTTGTATGTTGAAAAAAAAAGAAAAATTGAAATTGAAAAGATTTGAACGAAAAATTGAAAAAATTGAAATTGAAAAAACAAAAAAATATAAAAGTTGTAAAAATAAATAAATGCATTCATGAATGTAGGATTAAAATATGAAATGAAACTTTTACTTATTGTTTTATGATGCCATTTTGTTTATTACACTTATTCCATATAATATTATTATGGGCGTTTGTAATTTTTTTTAAATAATAACAATAAAGCTTCTGTCTATCTGAAAAAATAAATACAAAAACCGAAACGAAAAATTGCAAATCGAAAACGTGATGAAAGGTGAAACTGAAAAATGAAAAAACTGAAAAATTCAAAATCGAAAAAGCCGAATAAATGAAAAAGTTTTAAAATCCCATAATTGAAAAATGCAAAAATTTTAAAATCGTAAAATTGAAAAAGTGAAAAATGTTAAAAATTATAATTATTACCTATTTAAAAAACGAAAACTAGAAAAATTGTATAGCAAAAATTAAAGAACCGAAAAATTGAAAAAATCTAAAATTGGAAAACGAAAAAATTAAAAAAATTAAAAGTTGAAAAATCTAAAAATGTTAAAATTTCACATTGAAAAGAAGAAAAATTGAGAAATTAAAGTAGAATAGAGTAGAACAGAATAGTTCATTGATCATACAACGGGCAAATCGCAGACCTATATTTAGTACAAAAAAATTGAAAACTCGCAAAATTATAAATCGAAAAATTACAAACTCAAAAAAATTGAAATATTTGCATAATTATCGTAAAATTGAAGAACAAAAAAAAAATGAAAAACTCGAAAATTGCAAATCGAAAAATTGAACAATTAGAAGTTGAAAACTCAAAAACTCGAATGACAAAAATTGTAAAATCTAAAAATTGAAAAATTCAAGAGTTAGAAAATTTAAATTTGAAAACTCGAAAAATTGCAAATTGAAAAACTAAATAAACAAAAAAATTAAAAATGGAGCAATGGAAAAATCCTCTCATTTTTACTTTTTAGAAGTCATCAGAAAACAAAAAACGCAAAAAAATTATTTATTTTCAAATATGCACTTCAGCGGCGAGGGAAGTTCTGTCGAAATAACCTCCGCCCAAATTTTGTTTTAAATATCATTTGTTGAATATTACTTATATTGTTGCATCCCGCCCATTTAACAGCGCTGCTTTATTGTTGTAAAGAGCCATTTTAAAAGCAACTTGACCTACGAGTATTTTGAAAATAAATTGACATTTGGGGTTAATTAAGTTAAAATTTTGAATAGAAAGCGAATAATTGAATGAATTAGTCGAAACTTCAAGTGAATTGAATCGAAATTTTGAAAAAATATATCAAAATTAGAGTGGACAAATTGAAATACCGACTTATTCTTCTGAAATTTCAAAATAATTTCAAGTTAGTTATATAAAAGTTCAGTTAATAGGTCTAAAATTGAACCTGAACTTTTGGTTTTACAAGTCTTTATTTCCAGATTACTGGGTCGAAACTTTGGTAAAATAAGTGAAACTTTTGGCTTAATGACCGAAATTTAATAGTAATAGTGATACAAATGGCTAAATTTTTAGGAACTTTGGTTAAAAAATTGGAAATAATAAGAATATGTAATTCGAAATTTCGAACAATTCAGTCAAAATTTCGACTTAGATTAGGTGATATTTTCAAAATCTGAAGTTTATTGAGCCGAAATTTTGAGAAAATGATTGAAGATTGAAATCTAAATTACAAAATCCTCACATATTTTGAAATAATACACTAAAAAAAAAATTCTATAAATAAACCGAAACTTTTGATAAAATGTAGTGGAAGTTCCGAGTTTTTCGAATCAAAATTTCAAAATAGGTAGCTGAACTTCGACGTTTTTTTGCCGAAACGTCGAGTTGATTAACTCAAGTGTTAGAAAATAAAGTCAAAGTACGGATTTAAATTTTAGGACTTTAAACTATTAATAAATTGAGATCTCAAAATTTTTGAAAATAAATTGCCATATTGATATCGAATAAACTGAACTGAAATTTTGGTAAACTAGTATATAAGTGAAACTTTGGACTTAATGACCGATATTCAATAGTAATTCATGGAATTTCAAGTACATCTTTTGACATTTTAGTTTGCAATAACAAGGGAATAATTCGAAGTTTCAAACATTTTAAGTTGAAATTAAGTTCAATAAGTCGAAATTTTGAAAAAATTAGTGAAGGTTCGAATCCAAATTGCAAAATAATAATATATTTTGAAATAATAAATTAAAATGTTAACGTCACCCGCTTATAATTCCAAATGATACAGAACGATTGAGTTACAAAGTCAAAAATTCCGCAAATAACTCGAAACTTTTGATAAAATGTAGTCGAAATTCCCAGGTAATCGAACGAAATTTCCAAGTGGACAGCTAAACTTTGTCGTTTTTTGGTCAAAACTCCGAGTTAATTAACTCAGGTTTTGGAAAAATAAGTCATAATTTAGAAATTTTGAAATAATAAACTAAAATTTTTACTTTAACTGCTCAGAATTCAAAATGATAAAACAGAAGACAGTTTTGATAAAATTTAGTGGACATTTTTTTGGTGCTAATTAAGACGAAATTTACAGGTAATAATAGGAATTTCGTGTATATTATTTGGAATTCGATATCGAAAGAGAATAATTCGAAATTTCAAATAATTTAAGTGGCTATCAATATTAATATTACTTTTTTTTATTTCGATGATTATTACATGTTTAAAACATCTGCTAAGATATATATTTAAATGCACTTGTCACGATTATTATAAAATATGTAAAATTAGAAAAGTGGACTTTCTCTTATATCCAAATGTAAAAATAAACGGGAATTTAATAAGAAGATTTTGTGATAAAGTAAGTATTGCCTTATTTGCAGGTTTTTGCCTAAAAGTTTTTAGTGAAAATTTATAAGGTGTTTAAAAGTAGATTTCTTTGATATGTAATCCTTAATGGAAACCCTTTGGGTATTCAAACATAATGTAAAATGTTGGGTATAACACAAAGCCCACAAACAACTGAAAACAAGACGAAAAACCGTACGAAAAACTCTATAATAAACTAAACGCCGATCGCCCCAATCAGAAAAACTAAATTGCACTTATCACAGCTACAGCTGGTGTTCAAGCGGATTCTAATTCCGTTTCCACACCTAAAAAACACGCGTGGATCCGCTAGGTAACGTTAGAAAAGGTGCGTCTGAAAATCAGATTTCCACTTACATAATGAATGAACGTCCCGAATCGCATAAAGCTGAAAAACCGAACCAGAGGTAAAAATCTGTATGTGTTGACTTCGCTTTCAAGGATCATCCGGCGAAATTTGATTTCTTTATACCGGAATTATTATTTGTCATTTCAACACATCTTGGAGGAAATTTCGTCCGCATACGACGTAGATCGTTTTTTTAATAGCAAAATTGAACGCTACTGTAGTGTTTCGTAATAGAATTTTCGAGGTGGGGTGTTTCTGGAATACTCACAACCCTTGAAATTGTGGTTGGTGGCGTACAATGCAGACATATTGTATGTGAAAATTACAAATTGGCCGCGCCTTTCTGTGGAAATATTAGAGTTATTTATGCTGACGCATTTAGTTTGATTTTTCTAAGTTGTTAAATACTTTCTCAGCGGTTAGAAATTTGTTGCAATTAGCGCTGATTGAACGAGATTACTAAAACAAAGCACTTATCGACGTCTGCAGACGTAACTCTAAATCTACTTTTACTGTCTGCCCCATTTTCCCACTACAGAAGTGAAAATAGTTTCCAGTGTTAAGTACAAACGCGTGTATTCGTAATTCATTTCTAATGAACGTCCTCAAATTTTACAAAGACGCCGACCGAACTCTTGTGTTTTAAAATTCTTTCCTCGACAATAACGCACGATAAATAATTCAGCAGTTCTAAAAAAAAAAACCCACAAGTAATTGTGCTGAAATCCATCCAGCATCTAACACCCTGTAACAGAATTTCGCGTGTAACACATGAGATTCCTGCCAAGCACAAAATCATCCGATTTCAGATAAACCACAAAATAAATTTCTCTCGTGAAATTTCAGACACACGTGCGCAGGTGTGGTGTAATATGTAAATTGAATAACAAGATCGTCGATCTGGTTTATGTTTCGGCACGTTGCAGTATAGGACGAGAAAGTTTTATCTTAATTTGATTCATAAATAATGGCGATTTCTTCCGCTTCGTATGAAAGACGACAATTTTACGAAAATAAAACTTTATTGAACACTTGAAACATGATAGCGACTAGAGTAAGATTAAAAAACGAGGTTTCCTTAGTACTTGTACCCTCCATTACTGTCGTACTGCTGGCTTATTGTGGTATCGTGGTAGCCGTAATGACCATGGTGGTCGTAATGCCCATGATGGTCGTAATGGTTCGAGTAGCTCCCGCTTCCACTAAAATTGTGGCCGTTGCTGAAATGCCCATGTCCACTTGCGTACCCACTGGACAAACCACCCTTCAAGTAGCTACTCAGCCCCCCTTTCAACCCTCCGGGAATAACAAGCGCACCGTGGTGGTGGTGGTGGTGGTCGTCGTAGTGGTGGTGGTGATGATCGTCGTAGTGGTGAACCTTCACAGGAACCGCCACTTCGATCTTCGTTGGTACCCTCACCGGAACCGGTTTCGGGACGATGACGGGATATGGTTGCGGAACACTGACTGGAACAGGTTTCGGCACTTTCACATACACGGGCTGGTGTACCGGAACAGGAACAGGCCGCGGAACCACGACGGGGTACGGTTTTTCCACCACGACCTTGACGGGATGCGGTACTTCGACGCGCACGGGCCGGGGTACTTCCACGGGTTGCGGGACTGCCACTGGAACGGGAACGGGGCGGTGGACCACCACCGGGACGGGGTGCGGGACCGGGATGGCTATGTGTCGGATGTTTTGGCTGTAGGTGGTACCGGCGTCCACTATGTTGCCTTGACCGAGTACCACTCCCGACGCGAGTCCTGGAGCGACCCCGATGCCTAATCCAGAGTTGACACCCACAACGCCTATTCCTGTTCCCAGAGTGGTACCATGGACCCCTTGAGCTATTTCTGCGCCGGTTATGTATCCGACTCCTTGACCTGCGCTGACAACTCCGTGACCTATTTCTGCGTTTTGTACCACGTGAACTTGCGCCTCTTGGGCGACTCCATAGCCAGTGGAGTACGCCGAGCCAATGGGTGGTGCTAAGTCGGTACTGACTCCACCGTGTACTACTCCACAGTTTGCTAAGTTAGCAAAGGCTAGTACCAGTGGTAGGACCTGAAATTTGAAACTAATTATTTGGGTGGTTTTGATTTTTCGGGGACGTACCGCGACTGTTTTCATTTTGTCTGCGTGAAAAGAAAAGTGAAGATGGAATGATACGAGGAAGTGGATGAGTGACTTCTTATATATTGACCACACCTCGGGTGGACGACAAATTGAACTTTCTCGGCCACATTGTGATTCAGACTAGTGTCGTATGCACATATTTCCGTTTAGTTGGGAGTTTTTAAATTCTTGAGAGGATGTAGATCTCGGCTAGTGCTGAATATGGTTCACGGACGTGGCTTTTTATGATTGATTAGCGATATTTATCGCACTTTCTCTGTTATCGCCTCATCTAAAAATTCAGCATGTACAAATATTTTAACTTGTGTGATTTTAGAAAATAAAAATTTAATTATTATTAAATAAATAAAAAATAAAATGTTATCAAATGACACGCCACATTTCTTAAATATTTTATTTCTGGGAAGACTTAGCTACAAAAAAAAACTGTAACAGTAGTTATTGTTACCAATCTGTCTTATCAGCCCTTAAAAAATCTAGCTCAAAACATTAAAAATTAGAAAATATGTACCATAGATCCACAAAATTTCTATTTAGGTTAGACAGTGAACAGTGCACCCTCAAAAAAATCTGGTAAATAGTTTTGGACCAGGAATTCCCAAAAATTCGGTTTCAAAATGAAATTGCCTTAAATATTTCGAAGTCTCGGAAAATGGTAAAAAATTATTTGAAAAATTAATATTTTTGAAAAGTTGTTTAAAAATTTTCAGAAAATTTTGAGATATAGATCTTGAAGACTTGACTCGATAAAGATAACGTGTTGACAGTCACGGATCAAGATTTTCGAGAAACTCGATTTAAAAAAAAATCTTAAATTCTATGAAATTTCGGAAAACGATCCAACAAGCAAGATTTTTAAAAAGTTACCCAAAAATCCTGAAAAAATTCTGGATAATACAGTTCGACGACTTGATTCAAAATACAGGGTGACTGCGAAATAAGTGCAAATATTTTAACCACGGCATCCCCCACCCTAGTAGAGCCGAAATATAGAAAAAAGAAATTAAAAATCGAATGGGGCAAAACCCCCATGAACCACCCTCGATACGAAGGCACTGAGCCACCTTGTAAACAGAGTTGGAAAAACGTTCGAATAAAAACGACCTAAACACTTTCAGTTTCAATTAAAAGTAAAACCGACTTTTTGCTGCTTATCATTCGTTCATTCATTTACTCATTCATCGTTAAAGGTCAGTGTGAAAGTTTTTTGGTAATTTTGATTCTGACGGATGTTTGGTCCTTGTCACAACGATTTTACGTTGTTTATTGGAACAGAAATAAGAGCAACTTAGAATGCTACTACCTTTTTACAAGAAATGTTGAAAATGTTGTCCTTGACTAGCAATACAGGCGTCAGAGCGTCGCAAGAGGTTTGTTGATAGGTAAAAAAACACCGGAGTAGCGGGTGTCACTTTCACTTGTTGAAGCTCTTCGATAATTTCTGGACACTGTTGATTTCCACAAACGAACTGTTTCATCCAACTGATACACATTTATCGAAAACCGTCTCTTGAAATCGTACTTGTTGACGACTACGTGGAGTTCCATCGGACAAAAAGTGAGTTACACAACGTGAACAATCAGTGGACTCCAAACCGTGCACTTTGTCAACATGGTATGGATGTGGCCGTATTCTTTTAATGTAGGATGCACTACAAGCTGTGAAAATCCAACTTCTTCTTTCTGTCCTATCACGGCCACGATCGTGAGTTTGAGGTTGAAGGTACCATGATCTCGGAGATGCTGTACCACTGATGCACCCATTACCATATCGACACAATCTGCATGGGAAAACTGCACCATAAACCGATTTCATCGACCGCTCGATGCTAACTGGCCCTTTTCGTGTTTTTCACGTTGCGATTAAAAAAGTGCCTGATAAAGTAACTTTTTTGGTTCTTTAACCGACTCGCTCTGTTCCATTCATTGTAGTAATTATGTAGGTCACAAAACAGTCCAGCGGCGCGTACAACAATTTACATTGAATTTCAAATAATTTTTTCTAGACACTGCTACTACTTAGGACCGTGAATTTTACCCAGTGACATAATCATATTGTGAGCTATTCCCCATTTTTTTTTTGCATGTATTTCGCAGTCACCTTGTATAAAGTGCGAATAGTCCAGGACTAAATATTTCAAAATTAGGTTAAAAAATGTTTTGAAAAGTTGTCTAAAAATAAAAAAAAAATGAGATATAGAGATCTCGACGAGCTGATTCGAAAAATTTCAATAGGTTCAAGATTTTCGAAACTTAATAGGTTTGAGTTGAAATTCTTGAAATCTCTAAAAATGGTCAAAAACTTCTGGGAAATATATGTATTGAAAAGAGCTGATTCGAAAAATAAAAAATGTCAGTGCCCGCAAGAAATTGCGAAAAATTCGATTTAAAAAGAAAACGACCAAAACATTAATCGAAAATTGAGATTCTTAAAAAGTTGCTCAAAACTCCCCAAAAAATTCTGAGATACTTATGATGAGATTTTCAAAAAAGTCGATTTGAAAACGAAATTCCTAAAAGATCTGGAAATATCAAAACACTGCCAAAAATCCACTCAAAACTGAATATTTTTGAAAAGTTGCCTAAAATTCTTCAAAAAATTTTGAGATATAATCGTAGACCTCGATGAGTTGATCGGAAAGACATAACGTGTTAACGGTGGCAGATCAAGACTTTCGAAAAATTCGATTTGAAAATGAAATTTCTTAAATTTCTCGAAATTTACAAAATCGATTTTTTGAAAAGTCACCTAAAAACCCCCAAAAAATTATGGGAAATACATTTCAACGAGTTGATTAAAAAAACATAAAGTGTAAAACAGTATCGGACCAAGAATTTTGGAAAATTAGGTTTGAAAGTGAAATTTTTGAAAAGTTGTCTAAGAATTTAAAAAAAAATTGGGGTATTGATCCCGACGAGTTCATTCGAAAAACATAAAATTTTAATAGGCTGAAGAATTTCGAAAACTTACTTAGGTTTGAAAATAAGAATGTTTTGTAATTTCGGAAAATGGTCAAAAAAATTATTGAAAAATCGACATTTTTTAAAAGTTGCCCAACAATCTTCTGGGAAATACATTGAGACGAGCTGATTCGAAAAATATTAAACGTCAAGGGCGCGGGCAAGAATTCTCAAAAAATCCGATTTAAAAATAAAATTGTCTTAAAAATATCTTGAAATCTCGCAAAACGATCAAAACATTCATCGAAAAAGGACGTTTCTTGAAAAGTTCCTCGAAACTACCCAAAAAATTCTAATATTTAAGATTATCGAAAAATTCGATTTGAAAATGAAATTCCAAGAATACATATCTCGAAATTTCAAAATACTACCAAAAATTCACGGAAAAATTGATGTTTTCGAAAAGTTTCATAAAAATCCTGAAAAAATTATAGGTTTGGAATCGAAATTTTTTAACAATCTCGAAATCTCGGAAAACGGTCAAAGATTCATTGAAAATTTTATATTTTTGAAAAATTGTCTAAAAATTCTCACAATATTCTAAAATTTAGATCTCGACAACTTAATTTGAAAAGGATAACGTATTGACAGTAGCTGATCAAGATTTTGAACAAATTCCATTTAAAAATAAAATTGTCTTAAATTTTGTGAAATTTCCGAAACGATCAAAAAAAGCAAGATTTTTAAAAAGTTGCCCGAAAATCTTCAAAAAAGTTTGAGTCATACCTACATTTTGACGAGTTGATTCAAAAGTATATAGGTATAAAATGTCTATGGTTTCAAAATTAGGTTAAAACATTTTTTGAAAAGATGTTTAAAAATTAAAAAAAAATGAGATAGATATCAACGACCTGATTCGAAAAACATAAAATTTTAATAGGTTCACGATTTTTGAAAACTTACATAGGATTGAAGTTGAATTTTTTGAAACCTCCAAAAATGGCCAAAAAAAAAACACTGAAAAATTGACATATTTTAAAAGTTGTCCAAAAATCTTCGAAAACTTCTGGCTAATACATTGAGGACGAGCTGATTCGAAAAGTATAAAATACCAGTTGTTGCGGGCAAGACATTTCTAAAAATTTTATCTAAAAATATTTTAGATAAATTCGATTTTAAAGTGAAATTCCCAAAATATCTCGAAATTTCAAAACACTGCCAAAAATTCATTAAAAAAGTGGTATTTTTGAAAAACCCTTAAAAAATTCTAGGTATGAAACTGAAATTTTGTTAACTATCTAGAAATCTTGAAAAACTTATTGGAAAATTGACATTTATTAAAGTTGCCTAAAAATTTTCAAAAAATTCTGGTAAATACGTTTCAGTGACCTAATTTGAAAAATTAAAAGTCTTAATAGTTCCGTAACAGGAATTCCCAAAAATTCGATTTGAAAATGGAATTGCTTTAAATATATGGAAGTCTCGGAAAACGGTCAAAAATTCATTGAAAATTTGATATATGTATTTGAAAAATTTGTGGCAGATTTTCGAGAAATTTGATTTAAAAAGTCGGCTAAAAATCCTCAAAAAATTCTGTGGAAATCTTTGAAAAATTGCTTAAAAGTCCCCAAAAAATTCTGATACGATAACATTGTCGAAAAATTCGATTTGAAAATGGAATTCCTAAAATATTTCGAAATTTCAGAACATTACCAAAAATTCATAAAAAATTGTTATTTTTAAATGCAGTTGATTTAAAATTCTCAAAAAATTCTAGGAATGAAACTGATTTTTTTTAACGCGAAATCTCGAAAAACCGTTTAAAAGTTCATTGAAAAATTGAGATTTTTATAAGTTGCCTAGAAATCTTCAAAAAATATCGGAAAAATACATTTCAGTGACCTGATTTGAAAAACATGAAGTGTTAATAGTTCCCGAACAAGAATTCCAAAAAATCCTCAGAAAATTCTGAGGTATAGATCTCGACGACTTGATTCGAAAAAGACAGTGTTGACAGGCTCGGATCAAGATTTTCGAGAAATTCGATTTGAAAATAAAATTATCTTAAATTTCCTGAACTTTCGGAAGACGGTCAAAAAAATATATTTCGACGAGTTGATTCAAAAGCATAAAGTGCTAATGGTTTCGGACTAAGAATTTCGAAAAATTAGGTTTGGAAAGTTGTCAAAAATTAAAAAAAAAATTTGAGATGTAGATCTCGACGAACTGATTCAAAAAACATAAAAATATAGTAGGCCCAAGATTTTCGAAAAATTAGATTTGAACCGGAAATTTTTTAATTCGCTCGAAATTAGGGTAAAAAAATTCATTAAAAATTTTACATATTTTTGGAAGTGTCCTAAAAATTCTCAGAAAATTCTGAAATATAGATCTCTACAATTTGATTAAAAAATTAACGTGTTGACAGTTGCGGATAAAAATTTTTGAGAAATTTAATTTAAAGATAAAACTGTTTTAAAATTCGCGAATTCTCGAAAAACGGTAAAAAAATTAATACCAAATAAAAATTTTAGATACATCATGTGATATGTATATTAAAAAATCATAATGTCGTATCTTCACTGCAGTAACCATGACTATATAAACAATTAATCAGTGAAAAATAAAGGTTATCATTTTTTTAGAAACTAGTTTTATTAAAAAAAAAAATTTGACCCAGTGAACTTTTGTATAACTTTTCAGTAGTTTTATATTTTTATAAATATTTATCACCACACGTTTTTATTAAAATCGTTCGAAATCAGCTAAAGTCGGCTATCTAAATTTACCAATACGTTACATTATTAATACTTCCTTTTTCGAGAAAGTAAAAACAATTTTGTGAAATATCGGAATGTTTAAACATGCCATTTAGTGATCTTAGAACACCCTAGGTGACTAACTTTTACTTTGATGCTAAAATTATGCAACACGTTAAAAATTTGCATTAAATAACAACAACGATTTAAATATTTTTCCGATTATTTGAACCAGTCAACAGGTGTATCTGTCCTATTTATCCTAAAATTACAGCATCGTCGAGGTAACTGATCACACGTAACATTCTTAAGGCATTTTATTCGTCTTTCAATATTAACATTTTATTTTATTTTATTTATAACTAAACTATAATAATTTACAAGTGTTTCCATTCTGTGTTGTGAACATTGTGACCCGAAAGTCCACCTTTGATACTTGGCACGTAGGATCCAGTCAGACCGTAGCCGGTACTAATAATTTTCCCGGAACCACCTCCGGATGATATTCCAGAAATGATTTGGGACCCGGACTCCAGTCCAGAAGTGACGGACCCGAACTGGGAACCGAAACCGGAGCCGCTGCCTAATCCGGAACCACTGCCCAGTCCCGATCCCAATCCAGAACCACCGCCCAGTCCCGATCCCAATCCAGAACCACCGCCCAGTCCCGACCCTATTCCAGAACCGCTAATAATGGTAGATCCAGATTCGATGATGCCCGAACCTGAGCCCAGCCCGGAACCGCTAATTATGCTCGAGCCGGAACCGATTCCAGAACCCGAACCAAATCCAGAAACTACCTGGCCGAAACCGGCACCCAAACTGTCGTCGGCGAGGATTTGCCCATGACCTATGTTGTACCCAGTGTCCACGTGCGACACGGTATTCACTCCAACGACTTCAGGTACTTTAACCACCACAGGAGTGGGTACTTGGACGGGAACGGGTTGTGGAACGGCAACCGGGTACGGTTGTTTGACAGCATAGGGAACTGGGTGTGGTACTTTAACATAAACGGGCTTCTCCACAGGTACTTTGACGGTTTTGGTGATATGGACGGGGTAGGGTCTGGGTACTTCAACTGGTACTTTTACCTCGACGGGTACTGGAACGGGGTGAGCGACTTTCACGGGGTAGGGTTTAGGGACTTCGACGGGAACGCTAACTTTGACGGGTACGGCAACTGGTTTTGGTACTTCCACTGGGTACGGTTGTGGTACTGAGACGGTTTTGGTCACTTGGACGGGGTAGGGTTGGGGTACGGGGACGGCGACTTGTTGGGTGACTGTGTGGATTTCGTGGGTTCGGACGTTGGAGACTTTGGCACCCAGGTTTCCGACGGTGTCGTAGCCGCTTCCGTGGCGGATTCCGGTGGAGTAACGGGTTACTCCGGTGGTGTAGGCTCCGTTTCCGTAGCCGTAGCCGCCTCCAGAGCCCAAGCCGCTATAGCCGGAGCCAGAGCCAGATCCGAAGGTGTTGTAGAGGGAGCCAGAGCCAGACCCGGATCCGAAGGTGTTGTAGAGGGAGCCAGAGCCAGACCCGGATCCGAAGGTATTGTAGACGGAACCAGAGCCAGATCCGGATCCGAAGGAACTAACCCCAGACCCCAAAGTGCTATAACCAGATCCCGATCCAGACCCGAATCCTATGACGCTGTGTCCAGATCCAGATCCCAAGCTACTGTAGCCGGATTTGTACCCATTGAGTGCCGTGTTGTACGTACCCAAAGTACCTACATTACCAAAAGTGGAAAAATCGTAGTTGTTGTACCCAGAAGAGTTCAAGAGGCTTCGTTTAGGCTTTTCTTCTTTCGTGGACTTGGTGTCTTTTTCTTTCTTTTCGTTTTTGTCGGGCAAACAAAGTGCGCTTGAGACGATCAACACCAAGCACTGAAATTAGTAATTGTGTATTTGTTATTTTTTGGTAGATGGCTTTCTTACCAGTAGAGTCTTCATTTTGATGTTCTCTTCTGAAGAACAAAACCCAAGTGACGGTTGCTATGAAGCTTCTGACCTTTTATAACAGGGACTATTTGCTTCGATTTGAAGGACAAGGATGTTGATGTCACCATTCCAGTTTTCCTAAATTGTTTTTTCTTGTCGTAAATTTGTTATACGAAGCTGTTTTATGAAGATTGAGTGGCTGCAGCTTTTGATATTTAAAAAATTACACCATCGATATGCGATAAGAACTGGGTAATAAATACGATGCACTCATAGAGTGCAGAGGAAATTTCTATGTTAATATAGAACAACGCAACACTTAGAAAATCCGTCGGTATTACACTAATGAAATTCAAATTTTGAAAAACGAGATAGATATTCGATACCAACAATTTCTACAATACTCATCTAAGTGATCACGGACATAAATTAAAAGAACATAAACCACAAATTTTAATACGACGAACAAACAGGATGACATTTAGAACGCGTATTCTTATTTGTGTGTGCTAATAAAATCCGATGTCGGCAGATAGGTCAAAGTTGCAAACACACAAATTTTAATTTGGCTTGTCTGTGAATTAGTTTAATTAAACTCTCATAGACCGGAGTTATTTACGTTGGCGGGGTGAGTTATAGAAATGCAGACAGCAGTAAACAAACACTGAAAATTGTTGCTTTTAGCTTTGTCTTTGTAAGTTCGCCGCGTTTATTTATTTAACAGTCTGGTGGATGTGAGTTCAGGTAAGCTTATTAATGAAGTGTCGTAACGATCTTTTGTTATTTCAATCTGGCTGAACACTGACCTGATTTCAGGCTGTTCGGTAACCTGCAGCGTTTGAGTAAAATTCTTTATTTGTTTAGTTTAACGTTTTACTGCATTTCCTGTTCCGGGTCATAAAGGAGTTTTCTTCTGTTTGTGTTGCTGTTTAAAGTTATGGCGGCCTTCAACTTGCTGCTGTGTATTGTTTTTGGTCAAATAGGGGAAAACCTGGCCCGATATAAATCAAATTAGGTGGATAGGTGATTTAGGGAACATTTGATTTTGGTTAATTAAACAGACGGAAAGTGGATTAATGTGTGATTACAGACAGTTGCCCGTCTGCGAATTGGTTATTATTGTTCACTATGAATTAATTTGTAATTTAATTAAATTACTTTTGGGTCGTTACTTGACAGAACAATGTTATGATGATTAAATATGGATTTCGACCTACTGTAGATAACTATGTAGTTGTAGAGACATTTATTTCATAAAAATATCGGTGAACCAATCTGGGAAATATCGATTTCAGCTGTTGAGTATCTCATAATTTATTAAAGTGATTCGTTGATTAAGCAAAAAACACAACATAAAAAAATTCAATGTTGTTTTATGTATACAATGATATGTTTTAATAAATGAAATATATTGCCGCTTCGTTTTTGATCATAGTAAAAAAAAATGCAGCAAAAGGAATTACCATATTCTGTATATGAATTTTATAAATTATGTTAATTTATATTGTTGCTTTGTCTGGTTATAAATATTAATAGCGTGGTGGAATTTTGTATCAAGGGCAGAGGTTATTCAAATTTGTCGGAAAAAATATAAATATACCGGAGCTGCTTTGATTAAATTTCTTAGGATAATATTTTTGCAATACATTGTTGAAGTATATTTACTTAAGAAAAATTTGTGGCATTTTGGGGATAATTATAATTAATGATCAAATCTGATTAGAAGAATCGCTTTCTAACCAACGTTTTGTGCCCGTCTACATAAATAATATGCGATATTAAACGTTTTCCATAGTTTAGTGGGAAAATTTTTTGACTTTTCTGATGATTTATCTAACAAATTGAGCATATTCAACTCATTTTTTTGGATAAAAAAAAGAATATTTTTAGGTCTCGCACCAGATGCAAAAGCACAGTTCATAAACATCCAAAATTCAATAGAATTGTGTTTAAATTGGTCTATTTTAAACACAGGGTGGAGAGAAAAAACGCCTTTGATTCGACCCAAACCAAAATAAAGCACATCCACAAAGAAACAACGTAACCTGAAAATGTAAAAAATAAGAGTAAAATATCAAAGAACGTTTCCACGAACTTGACTTCGCTTCGAATTTATTTGTAAATCTTGGGTTTGCTTCCGTTTTTAAAAACCACTTGCTTTACGAAACAAATTCTCTTTCAATTCGGAGTTCCCTTATTTATAACAACCTTGTCATTTTATCTTCGCTTAAGTTCTTCAACGGATACTATTTAAAGTAAAAAATAGAGCGTTCTTTAGACGACGTTAATTTTTTCCGGCTTTTTTATTTTTTTTAAGTAAATTTTTTGTCTTGACATTTTTTCTCTAAACTAGAAATCCTGTGTTCATTAAGTGTGTTTATTTTTTCATATTTACTCCCCGAGCCATTAAGGTAAGGAACTATTCTAATAAGATCCAACCGGTAAATGATTACTTTCATGTTTCCTCGACGTTTCATTACCCCTAGAGAATGAAACAATAGGTCTCACGCTTTACATTTCGGTCGTCTGGCGTCTCCATGTCGATTTTTATTAGACAGAAAATCTATGAAACTACTGAACTGATATTATTAGATAGTCCTGTATTTGTGGTTTATAAATCCGCCTCGATTTTTTACCCATGGGTATTCAGATTTTAGCAAAAAACAACAAATTTTGTTAAAAATGCTATTTACTTACTTACATTTACAAGTAAACTTTAACGGATATCAATTCTGTTTGTTCAAGTATTAGGAGTATTATTTATCAGAATTACGAAATTAATTCTTTAGTTTTGAAGTTTAATATTTAAAAAAATTTGGTTCAGAGATTTTTTCGCGTTCTTTGGAGCCTCCTTAACCACGTCTAATCAAGAATATACGTCATTTTTTCATCACCCTGTGTTATACTAGTCACAATGTAATAAAAATGGCCAATGAGGGGATCGAACTCGTAGCCTCGCGATATTAACACGTCTAGTCATCTAACCCATGCACTTTTGAACGTTCCTCTTATATTGATTTATATTCGAATAAAACGTTGTTACACAATTTTGATTTTTTTGCGAAAATCTGAATGTCGAGGGTAAAAACTGATGGTAGATTCATAAACTATAAGTATAGGAGTACGTATGCTATTTTATAAAGTTTAGATAGCACTTACATGATATTCCTAATTTATTTGCATATAAAATTTGACAACAATGGGCCCCACAATCTAATAAATATCGACACAAATGACAAACTTTTTGTTTCACACTCTGGGGGCTGTGAAACGTCGAGAAAACATGAAAGTAGCCGTCCACCGAATGGTTCTACTGCAATACTTCCTTAGCTTACGCTCGGGAGGTAAAAAACTGTGTGTCGCTAGATAAAAAAGTTTTGAGAGTCAGTTGATGTTTTTGTAAATTAGAAGTCGTCGTGCTAAAAACCCACAAATATCTCCAAGAAAGTCACTATTAAAACATAAGATAATTTAGTTTTAATTTTCTATTCCATTTAACTGAAAATCGTTATTTCGCAAAATTACGTGTTAGAAACACAGTTAAAGAAAGTCGAAAATATCAAAGACAATGTATTCTTTAAACGCACCAAAAAATTACAGACGTTTTGAACACTAAAATCACCGCACAATGAATTGGAAATAATAGGCACTTCAATATTATAAAATGCCAGAAACGCAAATATTTTTGGGAATAATCAATAATCCACGCGGATTCATAAACTAAAAGTACAGAAGTAACTTTTTTTACTCCCCGAGCGTAAGCGTTTCCGTCTATCTGTCTGTCTATCTGTCTGTCTAGTGTCTATATCCATTTTTATCAGACACGTAATCTCCGAAATTGCTGGACCGATTGTTGCCAATTTTGTATGTATATTATAAATACCATATAGTTATACAAAAATATACTCGTATACTTGTAGTGTATGAGTCCGCCTTCAGTTTTTGCTAAACGTTTAAAATTGCACGATGTAATAACATTATTCAAATGCGAAGAATACGCACGTCTTTATATAATAATGATAAAACAAGAATTATAATATTCAGAACATTTTGTTCGATTGTGGTTTAATTAATAACTTTAGTCCTGTTTTGAGAAGACAAACTCATTCAAATCAAACTAATTTCGACGTGACATTCTTTCGATGTATAAACATAAATAAACACTTGAGCTCCACATTGCTATTCTCTACTGCTGAAGGACAAGGGGTGTTATTTATGCCTCTGGTTTTTACTTCAGAGTGGTTATCACAAAACGAAACTCGTACAATCAAATTTTATAACATTTTGGTGATATCACCTCAAAATTTTTCATGGTAAATGCTGTTCAAATTTTATAAAATAGTATAGTCCTATACTTATGGTTTATAAATCCGCCTTTATTTTCTACCCTAGGCAGCATTATAGTGTACATTTAACATTCCTCTGTTGGACAGAGTTTCCATAGAAAGAGAAACCGATTAGAGAATTAAATACAGTTGATCGTACACTTAGAAGTAAAGTTAAACGAATTCAGTATTTAAAAAGAAATATTAGCTTAGTTTTACCTTAGCAGGTACTAGCCCCGCCCACCCACCCTCTTTTTTCTTAGATGATATGTCATTTGCCAAAATCAGTTTTTGTCTTAGCAGGTACTAGCCCCGCCCACCCACCCTCTTTTTTCTTAGATGATATGTCATTTGCCAAAATCAGTTTTTGTCTTAGCAGGTACTAGCCCCGCCCACCCACCCTCTTTGTTCTTAGATGATATGTCATCTGCCAAAATCAGTTTTATCTTGGCAATACGTCAAATTTGTGTATTCACGTCGTCGAAATCTCTGTCCTAGAATTTTTTCTGGAATTTTAGGCAATATCACGACAAACTGTTCAATGCTCCCAACTTTGAAAATTTTGACTTTTTTTCGCTGGTTTTCGAAATTTAGCAAAGTAGATTTTTTTGTTGATTTCGATCCCTTGAGGTTTTTTGCGGTTTCAGTTCTTTCAAAATTTCCATTACTTTTCCGAAATCGCCAATATAATTCAGTAATAGACCGATTATTACTGCCTAAGTATGATTTTTTTCATAATTTTTGG